CGGCACCCCACCCGGAGCGGCACCCCACGGGAGCGGCACCCCACCGGAGCGGCACCCCACCCGGAGCGGCACCCCACGGGAGCGGCACCCACTCGGTTCGGCACCCCACCCGGAGCGGCACCCACCCGGAGCGGCACCCCTCCCGGAGCGCGCCCGCGCGGCAGCCCCGCTCGCAGCCCTATGCAGCGGCGCCCCCTGCTGGGGAGCCGCGAGCAGCGCCCCGCGCCCCGGCAGGCCCCACGCGCAGCAGAGAACGCCAGCTCGGAACACAGACGGCAGCGCGCGCCACAACAGAGACGTGGCACGGCACAGTCGTTTCACCTGTTCAATTTTTATTATTAAATATTTCAGATATCCAAAAACACCCAAAATAACAAGATAACCGTGCACCTAAACGGACTTAACCATAGTTGAAATTTGCTGTATATGCTAAATATTTTTACTTCTAGTATTTGTTAAAGCCTCAACTTTCCCTCCCACCTCAGAAACTAATAAGCATTATCCAAAAACTAGGACGTGGTCATTCCTTGAATGTTTTTTCACGTTTACTACATAGGAATGTGTCCATGATAATACATATTATTGTTTTGGATGTTTGAAAACTTTTACACAATGATTCCACACCATACCACGTTTTACGCTGTCCTGTGCTGCGCTGCGTGGTGTAACAGAACGACCCTCTGCGCGCCACTACCCTGTGCTGCTGGTGCTCTTGCAGCTTGGTTTCAACTGTGCTGGAGATGGCTCCTTGCTGATACACACGGGCTAGGTCGCTACATTGCTTCATAGTATTTCACTATCTGGATATACTAATTATTTCGTTATGAAAATGCTGCAATAAACATCATTGTCCCTTTTCTACAGTCTTTTAATTAACCTCACTAAATAGCTGTATATTTACCAGGTAATCTAAGCTTGATAGGCTTCTAGATTTTGGGGGTCTTCATGTGCAATAAAAATTTGTTTCCAATTACATTTCATGTGTAAAACCTTCTGGCTGTAAGCTCTATGGGGACAGGGACTTTGCCTGCTTTATTCACCACTGTACCCCCAGTGTTGACCCAGTGTCAGACACATAGGAAACACTTAATATGTGACGGATGAATGTATTCATGAACAGGCAGTGGAAGGCAGTACTATAGTGTCATTCAACTGGGAAGGTATGGTAAAGAAAAAGGAAGGAGGGAGGGACGACAGGAAGCAAGGAAATGGAGAGAGAGAACCATGGGGAAGCAGCAGAGAGCACTGCCTGTGTTAAGGGTAAGCACTGCTCTGTGAAACGTGTGTGTGGGTTCTGGATGGCCATGTAAGATACATCATTGCAGGCTGCAGTGCAAAGTTTGAAAGCTGCCGAAGCATATCAAAATGGCTAAGGCTGCATACTCTAGAGCGAGACTGCCAGGGCTTAAATCCCAATTCTACCAAATCAAGACTTGTATTCTTTAATCCCTCTGCCTCAGTTTCCACATCTTAACAATGGGGGCAGTTAAATGAAATGATGCACTTAGGAGATTATCACAGTGCCTGGCACATAGTAAACACTCAATAAAAATCATTCTTTCTCTCATAATTGCCTTAGGACTTATGCATACAGTATTAAATAATAAAATATAGGTCCATGTGACCAAGAAAATCACAATACTGGAAAAGACCAAAAGTCTTATATATTAACCATAGCTACTTTATTAAATAGGAGATGACTTTCAAGGAGAAAAGGGGCACTGCATTTTAGATACTAGCAGGCTGATGTACGAAAGCATTTGAAAAGCACCAACGGAAGGCGGCTTCTGAGTCTTACATCCTGGGGCAGCCCGGGGCCTTCTGCAGAGCTGGCCGGCTGCATGCGGGGGACCCTCAGGCTGAGGGCCTGTCACCTGGAGTCTAGGAATATGCATGTGATTTGGCTGGGGCTACTGTGGGTCAGGAGTAAAACCCGGGACTGTAACAAGGCAACCTGAAGGCAGAGTGCCCTGAGGAAGGTCTCGGCATGCAGGCGAGGCTGCTGGCCCGCAGAGGCTCCTCCCTCCCTTCGCCTCTCCCTGCTGGGTCCTCAGGATCATAGGCACCAAATGGTGACTCGGCAGGGAGGGGAACACGTGATGGGTGTAGGTGCAGACTGCAGGGGTCAGTAAACCTCCAAATCAGTATACCATTTCGAATGCACACATCACTTCTTGATGTTGAAATAATTCTCTCAAGTTTAACAAACGTATGCCAGAAACCTCTTTTATTTTAAAAAAAAAAAAAAAAGACAAGAAACAAAACCCAGAAATCATTAAGTAGCTTCATGACTTCGTAATAGGGGCTTACTAGGTAATAACAGGCAGGTATTTTTATATTCATTTTACAGACTAACAAACGGTGAGAGGGAGAAATTAAATCATTTGAAAAGCACAATCCAGTATATCAAGTGGCTGAGACCAAAACCCTACACTTTCATCACTGTTGGAATTCCACACTGCCTTTTGCACAGCTGGTCTTTCTGCTGGCCAGCTCCTTAGTATTTCCCCTGCTTGAGTTTTTTTTTTTTTTTTTTTAAGAGGCAGGGTCTTGCTATGTTGTCCAGGCTGGTTTCAAACTCATGGGTTCAAGTGATCCTCCCACCTCAGCCTCCCAAGTAGCTGAGACTATAAGGCACATACCACTGCACCTGGCTGGCCAGCTCCTTCGAGTTTAACTTCTCTAGTTCAAGAATTACACTATCAGACACCCAGCAATGTAATTTTCAATGTTTCCCTTAAAAAAAACTACTTTCGTGCAGTCCAAGCATCTCTCATTTTCAAAGATCAACTTTCTCTGGAAACGGGATCTGTGGAACTGCATTATAAATAGATTCAAATGAACTTCCTAGGCATGCCAGTACTTCCTGGAGAGAGGGCAAAGGAAGCCCGTCCTGACGGCAGCAGAGGCCCAGGGGATAGGCAGGGCAGCTCTGGGATCAGACGGGGCTAGAATCTTAGCAAGCGTCACCAGCCCCTGCTTGTCAGACACTGAACTTGGGGAAAAGACACCGTCACCATTCGGGTTCCTCGGGAAACACCTCAGGATGGAGATGTGCATGCAGGAAGTTTACTGAGGACTGCTGGGGGTCCCACGCCCACAGGAGGGTGAAGGAAGCAGGACCTGGGAGGAGCATCAGCGGAACTGCAAGGTTGCCACCACGAAGGCCCTGCAATGCCATGGGGACCTCAGCACGCAGCATGACCTTCAGCACTGCCCCACGTTCTGGGCCTTTATTCCATGCAGGAGATCAGCCAGCAAATGCGGCCACCCTGGGAAAGGGCAAGGGGCAGCCCCTGAGCAAGGCAGCTCCCCGCGGAGGGCAAGGCCTGCGCTGGGGCACTCCAGCTGGGTATGGTCAGCAGTCACTACGCCCCAGCAGCTGGGGAGGGAGGGAGTGCTCGGTCCGGGTGTGGGGGCCTGGGGTGCGCCCCACATTGCAGAATCACGGAGCACTCCCATGCTGGCAGCGCCACCCACACATCTCGACTCTCTTCTCAGGGGGGTGGACACTGGTCCTGATGGTTCGACCACTAGATGATGTGACTGCACTGAATAAAGATCTCTGCCAGGTGCTTCCACCTATATCGCTTTCTTTAGTTGAGGATGATGAGCAAAAGTACAAAGGAAATGGAGAGATCAACTAAGAACCAAGGTCTCATCCTACACATCTGGCCATAAGAATAGAGAAGGCAGAGTAAAGAGAACAAGGGAATAGGTTGGCAGTTAACCTAGCAATATCATCAATACATAAAGAACCAAGAATACAGTATGTTAAAAATAAGAGCATGCTGTCAGGTGAAGACATGGCTTAAACATTCCAGCATTACAGTTATTTTTAGTGGGTTCTCATAACAAAGAGCATATCTTGAAGAATTATGTCCTTTGAGAAATCATTTAATCCTTCATTCAAATATTCACATACCAATAACATAGAGACATGG